AGCATCGGAAAATGGGTTTTCTAGAACCCCTGTTTTACGACAGATTGTCGGGATATATATCTATCTATCTATCTACCTTACTCGGGAATATTATAGCGGGTTAATTTATGGCTGGGAAAATTAATGACCGGGAAAAATATGGCGGACTTTCCCAAAACCCGCCAAATTATCCCGGTCATGTATTTACCGGTGGCCGACCTTTCAAGTTTTTTTTCAGAGGTCAACAAATTTTCAACCGAAATTTCTGTTTTTGTTACTTGTTAAAGAAGTTATCAGTTATTTAGAATATATATTCGCATCTATCCACACTATATTTACATTACACGTACAACGTGATATCGTTATCAGTGCAGTGTGTACAACACCAACTACACCGATCGGTGTAGAATCAGGGTCAGTAGCTCAATTGGTAGAGCAAGAGACGCGAAATCTCGAGGTTCTGGGATCATTCCCCAGTTGTCCCTAGTTTTTCAGAATTAATCATCACATATAGACAGCATGAGAGTAGGCCTGGCCATCTCGAAGTGTTAAAGAAGTTATTTCAATTTACAGTTATTGATATTACTCAGAAATAGAAAAAAAAGACACGTCTATTTAAAGGAAAATAAATCTAAGCAATAATAAGTCAAATCTTCATTAAAGCGTATTCTCATTCTCATTATCCCTAATGTCCCCGCCATTATCATTATTGATATCTATATCCCCTGAGCTGCTGACCGTCAAATTCGAAGTTGTATTGTTGTCTTAACAAGACTTTCATTTTGTCCGCTAATGGGGCTACTGCTCTGAAGGTCAGCCGGAGCTTAATTTCCTGCCCACCGCTTGGTATTGGGGAACGTCTTGGCTTTGCATCTTCAACTGCTCCAGTAATCAATCCACCGTGGACCATGAAATAGTGGCACAGTTTACTCACTTCTAGCGGGATGTGGCCACAAGTTACTTAAACGGGAAAAACTCCCTCTTTCTTTAGTCTACACACTGAACACGAGAAGCGATCAATCTTTAGAGACATTATTATTATAATATATATTATATATTATTATTATTTTCGTTTTCTTCTATAACATATAAATTGTTTTCTTCTCTACGATTCACTGATTCATGGGCAAGAGAAGTGAGAATCACGGTCCACCCTGAAATCTGATTTCTATAACCAAATTGTGATTTTTATAACGAAATTATGGTAGCAACCGCCAATAAAGTTACAGCCCTCAATCCACTGCTTCAAAAGTCTTCTCTAGCACATATGAGACTTCAGGTAAAATATGATGATCACCACCCCCTTGGAACCCCATAATCTGAGTCGGCGGGTTTTTTTATGACTGGTAAAACTTTTGACCGTGAAAAATATGGCGGAATCTTCCAAAACCCACCACTTTATCCCGGTTATAATATTCCCGAGTAAGGTATATACATATATATATTCAGGGATAGACGCTTTGCCAGTCAATTATAGGCTATATTCAGGTGTCCGTAGATTCAGAAGCTTTAAAGATACAGCCATTTCGGACCACAGGTCTTGAAGATAATTGTTTAGACTTTAGTTTACATTATGTTAAAAAGTAATTCAACGTCATCATCACCACTTGATGACGTCATCAAGTTAACCATTTTTAAAACTTGATTTTTCACAAAGTAATCATTTTTCAAATCGATTTTACGCCATTAAGGAGTAATTTTATTCAAAATTTGAGGACATATTGAAGTTAGATAATTGTTTAAGCATTCTGAAAATCTACCGGAAAGTTTTTCTAGCTTGCTCCTTCATAAAGATATTCGCTTTTGAAGTTAGTGCTTTTTTAAAGAATAATTTTATAAAAACGCTAATTTTACGTTCTAGTATTCTCTGGTGTTGCACCATCCCTTGGGTTGTGGAGCTCAATTTTGCTTCCTAAAGGTCTAAATTGTGTCATAGGCTAGTTTTAAAATTGAAAATCGAAAAGTTGCACACGTGGGGCCACGCCCAAATTGATAGAAAATTGCTAAAATCACTGAAAATTGCTGTTTTCACCAATTTCCGTCAACTTTGGAGTGCCGTTGTGATTATAGTTCTTCTTGAAATACTTTGAAACTTTTCATGCTTATCAAACTATATATAAAACACCATCATGCAAAAATTTACGGTGATTCAATATTGGATGCGCACGCAACTTCCGCTCAAGGTTTGCACGTGCGAAAGGTTCAAATTATGCTCATTCGTGATTAATCAAAAAGAGATGATATTTGACCAAAACCCATAATCATGGGTAGAGTGGAGCGCTGCCAGTGTCTCTCTTTCCCAAACAAAAGGCAATGATATCAATTTGAATGACCGTTATCAAATGCAAAATGATACCGAGAATGAAATCGGTCGCTCGCTTTTCCCATTCATTTACAATTGAAATAGATTACATGTTATAAATCGAAACTTATTACAATTCGTAAGCCATGAATGAGTGGGAAAAGCGAGCGACTGATTTCATTCTCGGTATCATTTTGCATTTGATAACGGTCATTCAAATTGATATCATTGCCTTTTGTTTGGGAAAGAGAGACACTGGCAGCGCTCCACTCTACCCATGATTATGGGTTTTGGTCAAATTTGTTCATACGAAATATAAGTGTTTTGTTATGGCTATAAATCTTAGTTGTAGTGAACGCTGAACTTAGTCGTACTGAACGTACGTTCCAATCATTTTGTAGTGAACGTTTGTGAACGTTAGTGAACGTTAGTCAATATTTTGATAATTTTTCCGATAGTTTTTAACTTTAGATGGATACAATGAGATAAAACCATGTTGTCGGAATTAGACAGTAAATAAACAATAATGAATAAAAATAAGTCACTAGTATAGCAAATAGTAATGAAATTATTGCTTCTTAATTCGTGAATTGTTCATAAGACGCAAACTTGCGTTAACATAAATAAGGTCTCGCTGCTTGTCAACTGTGAGGCGGTTTCTTTTTTTGTTTATCACCCAGTCGTACAAGCTCCAATTCGTCTCACAGGTTGAGGCTGTTGCGACAGCGCTTTCATTGCAAAACTCTGTAGTTCGGGTACCTCGCAACCGAAGTTGCTCCACCAAGAGACTGGATCGTCAGAATCTTGGCTAAAACTTGAGGCAGCGTCAGTAGAGAATAAGCCTCTTTTTTCTCGGTAGAACGTGTACTGCGAAAGTATCTTCTTCTTTGTTGCGCCGTCACACCACGTGTCCATGACATCTAGAAACTCCTTCCAGACATCCTGATTCGTGTGCTGATCATATCCCTGATAAGCCGGGTGAACACTAAACCCTACTGAATATAGGGGGAATGGAGCTTGAGCCACATTTTGTTGGCAAGACTAACCATATCACTTTTATGGTTTCTATTGCGGAAAGCAAAATTTGTTAACTTTAAGGTGAACAGATAATATTTGTAATAAATTACACCGATGAAACCAACAGGAATCTTAAGTAAAGACTATTGTCTGAAAATCTAAGCAAGACTATTATCGGTTCGAGAATTGAGCATAAATAGTCGACTTCTATCCAGAAATGGGGGTCAAACACTAAATCTTTAGCGCACTCAAACAAATTCTTGTATGCATTACTTTTATTGCTAACACTCAGTAAGGGTTGGATCAATATAAGTCTTAATCAAAGTATCCTTGGAACCCGTCAGTCTCTCTAACATAATAAACTGGGTGGCAAACCGAGTTTCCCCTGGTTTTAGCAAATTGACATGAGAATAGGTTCTAAACGTTTTTAGAATCATGTCGTGATTCTTCACATTTGTAACTATTTTGTTACAATTCGACAATGTCTCCTTGGTCCAGCTCAACATGTAAATTTGCGGGAAACGATGGCCGGATGGCGTGTCGACGTGTTAATATTTTAAATCTGATTAACGTTCCTTATGTTCCGAACGTTAAAATCTTTTAGCGAACGCGTTCACAAACTATTTTAAGTGAACGTTCCGTACGTTCACTACAACTAAGCTATAAATATAATAGCCGGTGCAATTGTACTAATTTGCCGAACGTACTTCATCCTTTCCTTTCCCAGGTTCGGCTGTTTTTACCACATCAGTAGATACAAAGAAGTGTCAAACAAGCCTGAAGAAAATTCTAGAAGATGAAGCTGTACTGAAAATCTTTTTAGACCCAAGACCAGATTCTGATGCCCTATACCATCATTATGGGATTCATCTTAAAAACTGTGTCTGTCTTCAGTTGGCAGAAATAGCTGTAAGGCGGCAAGCCAGACCTACCTTACATGGGTATGTAAATGGGGGCAGAAAGATAATCTTAGCATACGGAGACTTGATTCAGTAGAGCTGCAGGAATATGTTGATATTGAGGGGAAGGGAAAGCAACTCATGTTCCAAAATCAAGGAGGTTCCTACGATAACTTAACCAGGCGGCCACTCAACACAGTAGTTGCACAATACAGTACTCTGGCAACTTCATACCTTGTGCCAGTGTATGTGAATCTTGAGAAAAAGCTGACCGAACCAGGAAAGAAGTGGGTGAGGGAGGAGTCGATAAAGAGGGTAGAAGAGTGCTTGCTTCCAAAATTCGGGGGACGTGGCAAGTTCAGGGCCTTAGCTCCCCCTCACTGGAAATAGACTGATTTGCATATTATCTGCATATTTTAAATATTATCTGTTTAAGGGCTTGCGACGTTTTGATATTATCACTGACAAGTAACATTTTGACTGTGTTGTTTTACATAAGGGAAGTGAAGCGGAAAGGGCATCTGATTGATTGTTGTTAAAGTCACTACCACTAAGCAGCAACATTCACTTCATTAAATCATATAATTAATGAGGTTGGCTTAGAAAATATTCAGTTACACCACAACCGGACGGGATTGTATATGTGCCATCACAGTGCTTAGAACTGATTACAGCCATTATTAATATTCCTTAACTGAACCTTATTTCGACTGTCGTACTGAAACCCCTTCGACTAGTTACAATTCCCCTTTATAAAATTGTATTTATACAATTTATTTATACAAAACATTTTTCAAATATCCTTATATGGATATTTGAAAAATGTTTTGTTCCTGTAACTTCCAAAGTTCCAACAGCAAGATGTTTTCTAAAACTCTGGTATACAATATCTTTAAAATTATCACAAACGTGAGAGTAAAGTTACCGTTGAGTCCACAGTAGCAAAAAGTACAAGCGTCTGGTTTCCACTCGTCACCAGGCTGGTATTCGATAGTTTTACCTCCGTCATACATCTCACACGGCTTCTGACCTGCATATGGGTGGAATTTATAATTTAATCTACATTTTTGATTAAAATTTGATTTGTTATTACATTAATGGTTAAAATATTGTAACTTTTTATTGAACACGAAGTTTTAGAAGAAGGCTAAAAGTATTTATTCTTATTACCATTACTGAACTAAATTCTTAAATTATTAATTGTAGCTGCATCTTGTCGTGATTATTGGATCAACTTCACAATGAATGATTAATATAAATGGTAATAGAATATGCTACTCACAGATGGGACAGCAGGCGTCTTCAGAATAGACAAATTCGCAACCTTCCTCGGGTTGCGCACAGTCCATGGCCATGCAAATCTTCTGTTTAGTGCCTCCTGAAGGGAAACCGGTCAGTATATTATAATAATTTCATTCCGGCAGTACACTAGTGCATCAACAAAAACATCAAAAAAGGTAAACAACCCTTACTAACACCAATTTTGAAAAACATCAACCGGTCAAGATAAATAGCAACAAACAGCCATAAAAAGTTTCTCCGCTTAATATCTGTAAATTTAAATTATCTTATGTCCACAGAACAATGATAGAACATTGAAAAGGCAATTATTTCATGGAAAAATATGTTGTTCTTAAAATGTGTATTGTATACCTTCTCCCTCGATACATTCGCAACTCATACAACGGTCTGGTTTCCAAGACTGTCCTATATCGTAGGTTTCTTTCCCAAGTGAGCACGGATCAGAACCTGCCATTAAGCTTGGTTAATCTAGCGGTAGGATTGCATATATTTGTAAAAATATGTACAACTATAATATGATAATACTATCTTACTATATATAAAGCGAGACGATATATATATATTTATTTATCCGCACCATTTTACTGACACCACGGCATCTACTTTAACACGGGTTTCCGCAAAAACCGTACAAGATATAAAACTGAAACTTTTTTAACTGATTCAAATGCTTTAATGGCCTTCAAATCAGCATGAAAAAATCGAAAATCGGCCAAGGAATAAGAATTTTAGTACCCAAAATTTGGACCCCCAAGTGGTGTCAAAAACGCGAATTAAATAGGTAATAGATGTGGATACTGGCGGGGAGGTGATAATTGTTTGTTTACATTAATAGTGAGCACATGTTAAGCAGGCTGAGGAGGTGATAATTGTTTGTTTACATTTTAGGTCGAGCACATGTTAAGCAGGCTGAGGAGGTGATACATATTTTGTATTATAGAAGGTTTGTAACACTTGTAACGCCTTCTTGTTACCCCCCTTTGAGGACCCCGAATTATTTTCTGAACGAAAGCTCAAAAATAACCGAGAAATCGACCTTCTTATTAACTCATTTTGATGACTGTTTCTGACCTAAAATTGCACGAAAAATCGATTTAGCTAGGTTTCAGAACCTATAAACACTTCCTTATCCCTCAAAATTGATGTTTTATAGTTAATACGACCAACAAGCAACATATATTTTGATCCTTCGGTTCTACTCATGACCTAGACAGTTAAGCTGAACCCGACAGATTGAGGCAATCCTCACCTTAACTGATCAAACTGGTACTAACACAATTTTCAGATATAAATGTTCTTTGCGATACGTTTATTGCAGCTTTGCAACTTGAGTGAAGACCAGAGTACGAAAACACACAGCAGGTAAGCAACTCACTTTTAGTGACTGTTCCTCACGAACATTCTGATCCTGTAACATATGAACAGGGAGATCGTCTCCTTAACAAATCGAACAGGTACTATCACAATTTCCAGAGCACAGCATGATAACAAACTCAAAAGAAACACAATGAAGGTAGGTTACCAACACCACAATATAACAATCATACTGACAACTGAATTAAATGTATTCTGACGACGGGCAGCCCTGATGTGCTCCGTGGTCCTCAACGAGCGACCACTTGTAATAGAGGTGTTATGTCATGTGACACCGATCCGTCCAATCACAAACAGGAAAAGTGAGCAGATCGATATCGTGTGTTTACTTTCCTTATCTTTATTTGACCCTCTGTTCACATTGTTATCTCTACCACATCTTGACTCGGCAAGGTCCGCGTGCAATATCTGCACCGCGGTAAACACGCCATGATTACGTCATGAACTTGAAATAGTGTGATTGTTGTACACTTATATAACCGTGCCCATCGCCCACGTACATTACAAACTGTTGGGGGGGGGGGGGGGGGGGGGGGTGGGGGCGGGGGATGGGGTTTAAGATAAACAACCGATCTTGATAGTGTGTTGGTCGCTCCTCCAACTGACTGTGATGCTTATCGTCCAGTCAGGAACAGAATAATAACATAATTTTTTAGTTATAGTATGTCTCGGCTGAACTGCGGAGATAAGTACAGTTTTCTGTAATATGTACAGTTTGCTGTAATATGTGGTCGCGATTATCAACTCAGTGGAATTCCAAATGATGAACTGTGCTTTAAGTTTACACCAACTGGAACCAAAGGAATATACCCATGAGTGCTCCCTAACTTAACTTGGACGGTAAGTGTTTGACAATAAAAACTAGGACACGAATTCTCTGACAAGAAATGTTAGCAGGTTTAAATAAAATATACCTGCAATTAGCAGGTTTAGATAAAATATACCTGCAATTAGCAGGTTTAAATAAAATATACCTGCAATTAGCAGGTTTAAATAAAATATACCTCCAACTGACTGTGGTGCTTATCGTCCAGTCAGGAACAGAATAATAACATAATTTTTTATTTATTCAAGTAGCACTGGTCATTTAAAAAAAATCGTTGTCGACCTCCCTTAAAAAAACAGGGTTCAAATTGACCAGTTGGGCGCACACGAATGCGATGTCGCTCAGATAAGGCAACATCTTCGCCACAACTTTGTTTCCCAAAATCTTGTACCGCTTCAGATAGCCAATAGAGCGTTCCACGTGGATGCGGGCGATGTGAAGTCGTGTCCTAGATTCTGTTTCCAAACACTTACTGTCTAAAGGTCTAAGTTAAGCAAAGGAGCACTCATGGATATATGCATTATTCCTTTGCTTCCAGTTGGTGTAAACTTAAAGCACAGTTCATCATTTGGAATCTCACTCAGTTCATAATCGCGACCTCATATTAGAGTAAATGTTTTTAATAATACTAATCTCCGCAATTGAACAATGAAACCGAAACATGCTATAACTAAAGAATGTTAATGTTCCGTTCATGACTGGACGGTTAGCATCACAGTCAGTTGGAGGAGCGACCAACACACTATCAAGATCGGTTGTTTATCTTAAACCCCATCCCCCGCCCCCACCCCCCCCCCCCCCCCCCCCAACAGTTTGTAATGTACGTGGGCGATGGGCACGGTTATATAAGTGTACAACAATCACACTATTTCAAGTTCATGACGTAATCATGGCGTGTTTACCGCGGTGCAGATATTGCACGCGGACCTTGCCGAGTCAAGATGTGGTAGAGATAACAATGTGAACAGAGGGTCAAATAAAGATAAGGAAAGTAAACACACGATATCGATCTGCTCACTTTTCCTGTTTGTGATTGGACGGATCGGTGTCACATGACATAACACCTCTATTACAAGTGGTCGCTCGTTGAGGACCACGGAGCACATCAGGGCTGCCCGTCGTCAGAATACATTTAATTCAGTTGTCAGTATGATTGTTATATTGTGGTGTTGGTAACCTACCTTCATTGTGTTTCTTTTGAGTTTGTTATCATGCTGTGCTCTGGAAATTGTGATAGTACCTGTTCGATTTGTTAAGGAGACGATCTCCCTGTTCATATGTTACAGGATCAGAATGTTCGTGAGGAACAGTCACCAAAAGTGAGTTGCTTACCTGCTGTGTGTTTTCGTACTCTGGTCTTCACTCAAGTTGCAAAGCTGCAATAAACGTATCGCAAAGAACATTTATATCTGAAAATTGTGTTAGTACCAGTTTGATCAGTTAAGGTGAGGATTGCCTCAATCTGTCGGGTTCAGCTTAACTGTCTAGGTCATGAGTAGAACCGAAGGATCAAAATATATGTTGCTTGTTGGTCGTATTAACTATAAAACATCAATTTTGAGGGATAAGGAAGTGTTTATAGGTTCTGAAACCTAGCTAAATCGATTTTTCGTGCAATTTTAGGTCAGAAACAGTCATCAAAATGAGTTAATAAGAAGGTCGATTTCTCGGTTATTTTTGAGCTTTCGTTCAGAAAATAATTCGGGGTCCTCAAAGGGGGGTAACAAGAAGGCGTTACAAGTGTTACAAACCTTCTATAATACAAAATATGTATCACCTCCTCAGCCTGCTTAACATGTGCTCGACCTAAAATGTAAACAAACAATTATCACCTCCTCAGCCTGCTTAACATGTGCTCACTATTAATGTAAACAAACAATTATCACCTCCCCGCCAGTATCCACATCTATAATTATTTTTACTGGGAGACTTTAGGGTAGGATACTGATCCGGCCACCAAAGCGCCTTGACACCAGTCTTAAAGGTTTGACGGGTTTCTGCTAGTTATATAAAACTATTTAAACTATAAACCTGTACCTCCCTCTCTCTCATATACATATATTAATATATACTTGGCTAATATATTAAAGGCCGCATTTAGCTCTCTTCCAAGGTTTTACTTTCGATTTTCACAAGCTATACGAAATACAGTAAAGGTATTTTGAAGGTTTAACTCACAATACGGACAGCACGTTGTCTTATCGTCATAAATAAGTTCTGATTCTGGTCCACAAATTGGTATGTCACACATAATCTCCATACACTCGTTTCTGTAGCCAGTTTTCTCTGGGGATTTGGTTATTAAGGAAACTTGGTGTAAAACGTTGTACTAACTTTGGATATAATTTCGATATTTGACGCGTATCGATAATATTATTAGTTTTGCCGGCTTTAGCGATCGTCAATTATCAATATAAAAGTGTTATCGATCATAACAATATGTTTATAATTTATCAACTTCTCAATGTATGACTCAAAACACGCCCCATGACGTCACAGCTAATTTATCTATGAGCGTAAAGTAAAGCACTATGACGTCACATAGCTCCCAACCTAGAGTACACAAAACATCTACCTACCATCTCGGACACAGGTGCAAGTACGGCACGGAGTATCTTGCCACGGCTCGTTTTCCTTGTGGAAAATCAGCTCTCCATCCTCGACTGAGTAACAAGGTTTCAGACAAAGTGGGCAGCAATCTCCTTTCAGCTGTACTATTTCCCAGAGGCAACCGTCGGTGCTGGCACAATCCACTAATGAACAGTCGTCCTCGCATCTTGGACAACATTCTCCAGGCACATAATAGGGTTTACAGTTAGGTCCAGGAAGCATGCAACTCATCATGGCACACATCTGCTTCTTCTCTCCTGAAGAGAATTAGATTAAAGGGAGTAAGAGATTGCTCTTCTTATTACAAAACGTCAGTACACATATACTTTAGAATCTAAGTAAACTATAGGTAAAAATATAATATTAATCATAAGCTAAAATGTACTAATCTTTGTATTCTAAATGGGGAAAAAGAAGAAACATTGTCAGTCAGTCGAGAAAATTGTCAGTCAGGCTATATGGCAGCTTTGTAGATGTTGTGACTATGCTAGTAGTGGTCCCAGGCTTGCGACTGGAATTGCGGTGTTAAATCGATTTAATGGTACCAACGATCCACCTCCCACTTGTTGTTTGGTACTTAGCATTAATAGTGTTAGCTGTAGCCATTTATAGCAAGAATCTTAAAACATAAGGGGATGACAAGGAAAAGAGGAAGGAAAAAGAATAACGGGACAAACAATTAATTAAAGTATTTATAGGAGCATTAGATATTGTAATTACGTTGTCATATTTCCTCAGACAACGTTTAATGCCTTTAATCAGTCTATCACGGCTATATCCTCTATCAATTAGAATTTTGAATATTTTGTGAAGATGGGAGGTAAAGATATCCAATCTAGTGCAAACATTACCATATCTAAGAACTTGACTTGAAAAAACGTTGTAGCCAACCTCGGTTGGGATGTTACTGTGAGGAAATGTAAGGGATACAACATGAAAATTAAAATCATCAGTTTTGTTATACACTGATATTTCTAGTCCTTCTGTGGAAATATTAATATTTAAATCAAGGTAGTTAATGATTTTATTATTGGAACCAGCTCGCTCCATCTCCAATGAATTAGGATAAATATCTTTAATCAATTTATGAAAGTAAAGGTAGTTAATAATAGATAAATCGTCAACATATCGTTTATTATTGGATAATATCTTTGCTAATCCCATTTTCTTTTCCTGAAGTAAACGTTTCATATAATTAAATTCCTTTTTGCCAACAGTGAGATCAGCTATAGGGGAACTTGAATTTCCACCCATAGGAATACCCTTGGTTTGTATGAATACAATCCCACCGAAGACGACATAAGTGTTATAAATAATAAATTTAACAGCCTCTTTTAGGTCATCTTGACTAAAGCAGGCATGACAATCATAGGTTTTATTGGAAAAGAAACATGTATTACTGTCTCTTTTAGAAATACAAATATATCTATTACGGTCTGAAAATATTAAATCAACAACTTCATTAATCATATTCTCTACTTCAATCAAGTCTAATCTGGTATAAAGAGTAGTAAAATCATATACTTGTATATTATAAACATCGCTATTTTTGATAGCTTCAAGGAATTCACTTGAGGAATCTATGCTCCAAAAAAAAAAAATGTTTATACCGCTGTTGTTGTAGATTGCCTCGCAGTATTTCTTGAAGTATTTCCTCAAAAGTTTCAGACAACAGTTAACTTGGACGTTAAGTTGTTTCGTAACGCAAAAACGGGCACCTGCAATGAACCTCGCCTTGTAAGGGTTCTTATGAAGCTTAGGGTTCCAGAAGATGCGTGCTAGTCGCAAGTTTTTATCTTCAACTTGTACATTAAATCTCTCCTTTAGACTCTCAGATATTTTATTGACATAATGAGTCTCGTCTTCGCTACAGGGTTTATATGTATCATTACCTATACATTCTAGAGTATTAGGATCAAAACCCATTTCATTGACAAGAGTTTTTACATAAAACTTTTTACAAATAAATGAAAAATTACCAGAAGCTTTGTCGATACTACAAATAATGTATTTACTTTTCAGCATTTTAAGACTTCTTTTAACATCATCTTTTTCCAGTGTGTTTTCTTTTATTTCAAATGTTTCAGGAAAGTTTTTCTTGTAATATTCAATACGATTGGAAACTATTGATAACACTTTTTCCTTCCAATCGCTGAACTTTACTTCTTTTTGACAGTACTTTCTACTTTTTGATTTTATAAATTTATCGACAGCTTCGGTAACTGACATATATATCTCATCTGGAGATTTAAATGTGGGAATTCTGTATTTACAACCGTAGGAAAGTACTTCCCTAAGTTCAACATTATCAACAATATCTAAATTACCAGTAACTACATGTCCATGAGGAGGATAATTGAAAGGGGAGGAGTGACAAACAAATAATTATACGTCCAAGCGGCACTTATCAATGATAAGTTATCATCGTTCAAACATTGCTAGGGATCATTGAACCCATGATAACCACATATGGATATTAAATCATAAAACTAAATACTAGGCTCAAGGTGAGGATCTCCTAACAGAACAACGTCTCTTGAAACCACTAACCATCTTCCTCATAACATTGGCAAGAGGTACAGTCGTCCGGTTTCCAGGAGTCACCGATCTCGTATCCTGTTCCTCTGTGTGTACACTCGTCAGCACCTATTTTTATCAGGGTTACACACTGATTTATTTTAACCAACGACTGAATCTTCCACACTAAAAGCAGAATTGCTGAAAATATTTTGAACCCGATCTTTATTTCTAAACTTACAAGAAGGACAACAAGCATCTTTACTCCATTTGAGTTCTCCTGTCTCACAAATGGGGATGTCACAGTAGATCTTAGCACACATCTGCTCCATCTTACCGTCGCCTGAGTGCATGTTTTGGTATTAAGGGCGCATTTTGTTGACGGATAAACCTTTTTAAAACTGAGAACAGTCTGAGATTTGATTGATGGAATTTCGACATAAGACATGCGGAACGATATGTTAATCACAGTTTACTGGGCGGTGCTCAGCCTGTCATTCCGCCGAATCTTCAATCTGTTCATGAACAGAAAAGCCTGAGGTCCCCAGGTTAATCACAGTACCTGTTTCAACACAGTGGCAAGTTGTGCATGGGTCTGGGCTCCACTCGTCTCCTGCTTCATATAATTTAATTTCTCCCTCACTTGTTTTGACACTGCACGGATCAGCACCTGATCGGTTAAACTTGATGAAAATTTGGTCACATGTTTGGTAATCGGTGCGATTAGGCGCCTTAGTCAATACTTAAATGTAGTCATATACAGGATCAATGTATTATTGTTAAATTACTTAGAAATCACAGGAACTCACATATAGGGCAACACTGGTCCTTTGGATAGATGACCTCTGTTTCACAGATCGGGAATGCGCATTTAACAGAGGCACACATTTCAATCTTCTCGCCTGTTTCTGAAGATTTAATTAAACTTGTTGTTATTGCCTTTAATCTCAGAGTGAAAAATAGATAGCAATAATTTGTTTTGAAACTGGTCAAATCTTTGGTGAAAATATCAGATAGAAATTAATTCCTAACAGTGAACGTCCATTACCTTCATTCAGCATACAAGAGCAAAAAGTACATGGGTCTGTATTCCACTCATCTCCCACATCATACACGTTTCCATCGTGTTCACATTGACCTATAATTGACTTTTATAGTGAAATGAAGCCTATTGTTCACACAAAACAGTTTCCCTAAAAATGATGAAGTTCAGGGTGATTGCCTCATCTTTTTCAATTAAACTATAAAAAAGAATTGTTTCCAAACCTTTAGCAGGGCACCGGTCCTTAGGTATACACTGTCCCTCGTGCAGGAAGGGACTGGACCGAGGACATTGACACTTCTCCACACATTCCTTGGTGCACATTGGCCGGGGGTCGTCACATGTAATAGTACAGCTCATACCGCAGGTGTTCCACACTGTCCCTCCTTCGCATTCTGAATATTAGTGTTCTGGTTAAATGTTCAGGTTCGTTGGAACAAGATGAGCCAGACACAATGTTGACGTGAGAGAAGTCATTAGTCAGGATATTTGACTCCTATTATCTTATTATCATTTCAACCCTGTGTTAATTCTGAATACATTCCACCACAGGGACAAAAGGATTTCGCGATTATTTTGGCAAAAATTCGCGATACCGCGATTTTTAACAGACTATACATTAAACTATACATAAAATTTGTCGCAAATAATGGGAAAAAATCGCGATTCCGTACATGCCGCGATTTCCTTTTGTCCCTGTTCCACCATGTCTGTGAACACGTTTTGATATCGGATCTCAAACGTCCATACTACATAATTAATCGGGAGCTGAGGTTCGTAAAAAGGACCGTAAAAGGACTGATGAATAAATTTACTTTACAGATATTGGATCCCTGAACCCGACTTATGATTAGAAACCAAATACCTTTAAAAGTTTAAAACTAAATAAATCGTCATATATTAAGTTTTCCACTATAATTTTAGGACCTGGTTAGGCACCATTCGAGTATCATATATTTCATTTAGCTAGGAATCGAATAGGCTTCCAAGTTCTTATTCGTATCCGCTCACTTTTTAACACACGAGCAGAATATATAGCACCATCCCAACTTAATTCTACAATCTTGGAGAAACCATCTTTTAAACTAAACCTCTAAAGTTATTTACCTGGCGTCTCAGGGCACTCGTTGGCTGGCATACACTCCCCATTGTGAAGAATAGGAGTATTTGGAGGACATGTACACTTAGCCACGCACTCGAACGTGCAGAATGGGTCGGGTTCAGCACATGTTGGGGTGCACTTGCTCGCACACTCCTCAAATACCATTCCTCCTTTGCACTCTGAAATAGGAAGGTTTTAATAGACTGACTATGATCATGATGTGGGATTCATCGACAAAATGAAGAACAATAACATTTCTAAGGATGAGTTTAGCTGATTAAAACGTGTAGAAAAATTAACGAACCAGGTTCAGGTATCTCCGGGCACTTCTCCTCCGTAGTACAAACACGTTGATGGAATATAGGTAGTTCCTTGGGGCACTCACACCTCGGTACACACTGCTCTGTACACATTGGATTGGGATCCCTACAAGATGGAGTACAAGCACTCCCACACTCGTTGAACACCAGGTTGCTCTTACACTGACTTGAGTCACATTGGCTCACTGCCACGCACTCTCCCTCCTTCCAGATAGGTTTGTCAGCAGGACACTGACACCTGGGCACACAGTTCTTGGTGCAGACCGGATCAGGGTCGTTGCAAGTCTTCAGACAAGCCAGCCCACATTCGCTCCATTCCTGGCCACCACTACAAGTTTCTTTACTTGCGCTGCACTCTTCGACGACTTCCTCGCCGTCGAAGAAGTTAGCGAAACAGCCTCCACAGTAGTAGGGCTTACAGGTTGCTTCCGAGTTTGAGGAGCATTCGTGTTGTTCACAGGGCTTGACGGGACACTTAGGTATCCAATCCTTGCACTCCTCTGGCGAAGAGAGGTGTAAAACATGATACATTTAATTTTAAAACATTTTTGATCTGGTTATTAATCTAGAGTTATTTCAACGATTTTTATTAAATTTCATGTATGGAAAATGGTTGTCGCATCAGGTTCAATATCATTCCATAAACCTGCTTAAAAAGATTGACTTACCAGGTTCCTCTGGACAAGAAGATTCAGGAATGCAAACACGGTTATGAAGGACAGGAGCATCTTTAGGACACTCACATCTTCCTACACAGACAGCAGGACAGTCGAGATCATTCTCCTTTTTCCCACTCTCAGCTATAGAGAACGCTTCAGTGTCTTCCTTATGACTACAAGTGCGCCAAGGTCGGACACATGCACTGCCACAATCATTGTATTCAAGGTTACTCTTGCACTCTGGTAGAATTTTGATATTAATGTTGGAGCGGAACATCTTCCGAAATGTCCAAGAACAGCCCTTGGGACATTTGAACTTATGACAATATGGCCAGTTAAAAGGATTAAACGGGTTAAACGATTCAAAAATCAAATTACAATTGAAATGTCTAACCCAATTAAAAAAATAAATTTACCCAAAGTCAAAAAGTATATATCTATACTATAATTTAAACTTGACGAAATTTCCCCGGCAACGGGGACATAGAAGAAAAAACACCGAAAATCGACCTCAAAATGACCCTCTGGTGAAATCAAACCCAGCTCGCAAATGGAGTTGAAACCTCGCCATTTTTAGCAGGGTTGTAGAAAAAGGATAGGAATAGGCTATAGCATTCTTAGAATTTTGATTTAGGCTTTAGATTTTTTATAATTAACGTCGGAAGTGAGGTTAAATAATCGTTAGAATAATGGCGTTATTTTAGCAAAGGTTTACTGCGCTGTTGCGTAGCAACGTTAAAGTGCACGTGCGCGAGCAAGAACATCTTAACTACGCGCGTTGTTATGCTGTATGCTACGTCATAATTTCAAAACTAGCTCACATTTACGCTCACGCTATGACTTATATTCATAACTTTGGTTGTGATTGGTATTTTTTGATGCGGTAAAAAGCATCGTTTTGGGAATCCGAATACTAACAACGCTGTCGCCATTGTTAGATAAATTCCATTATGTCTACAGTATAACAGAGCTATATGATGAAGAGAAATTAAAACATAACTGATTTTTAAAATTTCCTCGAACAAAGCTTTCTACTAGCGGGTTTCTAGTACATTATACAAGAGAGTTAGTTTAACTTTACAATAATATTAATAATTTTGGCCCAGTAATCGGTGGGGGGGGACAATGGATGTTTTTTTGTGAAACTTGATTTCGAGATAGCAATTGACCAACAAACTAGGACCAGTGACCGAACTTTTGAGGGGTCCCGGACCCCAACCGCCAAACGGTGCCCGCGGGGCAGCCACGCCCATATTTGTTCCAAATTAGGCCCAATTTAGCCAAATACCCTGAACATGCCCAAAACCCAGATTTTAGGTGCTCTACTTGTAGCTAGTGGTCTCTTGAACTCGTATATGAAATTTCATCAAGATTGGAGAAAAAATGACTGAGTTATGGGCCAAAAACCATATGCCCATATTTGGGCATACGCACCAAATTTGGTAGATTTCGTCCCATAAATTGGGCAAATATCAATATTTTTCAATGAAACTTACTTTATAAGAAAGGTAAGCCTAAACTATACATATTCTCTGTAAGTTATAGCTTTATATCTGTTTAAATGTGGATACTAAGGCGAAAAAACCACAAAAAATGAACTAAATTGCCTGTATCTTGGTTCGCGATATTCGCGGAATTGATCTCATTAAAATTGTAATAACTCAATCAGTTTTCAAAATTTTTGCATGAAATTTTCGGAATCGACTCGAAATCGCATTTCCACCTTATTTTGAGAACAGATTTTTGATTTAGGCCTCCAAAAACAATTGGCGGCCAAATTCCAATATTTTCCCGGACAAATTCAGAATTTGGCCGCCAAATTTTTTTTGAGGTTTTTTCGCCTTAGTATCCACATTTAAACAGATATAAAGCTATAACTTACAGAGAATATGTAGTTTAGGCTTACCTTTCTTATAAAGTAAGTTTCATTCAAAAATATTGATATTTGCCCAATTTATGGGACGAAATCTACCAAATTTGGTGTGTATGCCCAAATATGGGCATATGGTTTTTGGCCCATAACTCAGTTTTGTCCAATCTTGATGAAATTTCATATACGAGTTCAAGAGACCACTAGCTACAAGTAGAGCACCTAAAATCTGGGTTTTGGGTATGTTCAGGGTATTTGGCTTAATTGGGCCTAATTTGGACCAAATATGGGCGTGGCTGCCCCGCAGGCACCGTTTGGCGGTTGGGGTCCGGGACCCCTCAAAAGTTCGGTCACTGGTTTTAGTTTGTTGGTCAACTGCTATCTCGAAATCAAGTTTCACAAAAAAATATCCATTGTCCCCCCCCCCCCCCCCCCCCCCCCCCCCCCCCTTAAAATTAAGCTTCACTAACTATTAAATAAAGCTTAAAATTAGATAAGACAGTAAAAAGGATGGGGCTTCAAATACCTTTTGCAGGAGGAGGAGGAGGTTCCAGGCACATTTCCTCAGTAATACATTTTCCATCTCTCCAAATAGGTTTGGTTGGGGGACACTCGCACTTAGCCTCGCAAACCTCCGTGCAAAGAGGATTAGGAGCATCACAGGACTTGGTACAAGGACTACCACACTTATTCCACTTCTGTCCTCCTTCACATCGTTGGTTAGGCTGGTGGGAGCACTCTTCAATAACATTGCCACTGGAGTCCACAAAACGAGTGTAACATCCCCCGCAGTAGCTGGCTACACATTTCGCGTCGGGATATCCGGGACACTCGGCGCTTACTTGGCATGGGTCAACGATACAGTTCACTATGTTCGAGCATTCTTGTGAATTTTCTTGTCGGTAGAAGAAGTTGTTTATTAGAAAGTAATATAGTAATATTGATACCTGAACTCAATTTAAAACATTGGAAGTATGAAAGGGTTCAAAATCAAACAAGGAAACTAAAGAACTGGGTAATCACTGACAGAAATAGTTTATTGTTTCCTCACCTATTATAGGTTTGGGCCTAGCGGCATCTTCACTCTGACAGAGCCCCAGCAATAGGACCTGAGATAAAATAATTGTAGACAGAATTCAAATCTGTGGCATAATTTTTAGAACTTGCACCTCTGTTTGATTTTCACAATTTGCTTTGAAGCTAAACTTGGCTAGTTGGCTGAACAATATGTTACTGCTTGCCACAAAATCAGGGCTGGCAAAATTAAATTCTATACAGCTATCAGCAGTTTACAGGAAATTATACGAATATTGAATCTGAAGAAAGGAACTTACCCCGAGAATCAAACCACTCACTCTGCCTAACGTCATAAGATCAACACTTGTTCAACAGAAACTGTGATAAAACACCAATCAGAAATAATATCGAGTACAAATCTACGACACGTAATATGTTATAAGTATATATTTATAATATTAATATTATTATCACCATAAAATATAATATGCATGCTTAAATGTTCCCGCCCTAATTTCCTTCATCACTGTCGACGGAAAGCCGGGAACATTTTATTTTTTGTGCCCTGGATCAATTTCGAATTAAGGGCACAGAAACCAACATTTTCCCGCCATTTCCTTCAAAGTTCCGCTTTAGGAAAAGAAATATACTTTAATTCATAACGTCATGTTTCAAGTCACGTACAGACAAATTATTGGGCAACTGTAGAGCGCACTTGAGCCCTCGAAAACGAAACATTTGAAAGTTAATCAAGCTTTGGATAAAAAGATACTAACATATGAGTGCAAAATAGTTTATATCTGCCTAATTAACTGAAAAGCAAAAGTGACGATGCGATCGCGAAAAGGCAAAAGAAAAGTAACGTTTATGAACGTTCTCACTTTAAGCAAGCACGAGTTTGTAATTGTATGTGATCGGCTGTGAGTGTGATACGTTTCATAAAACATTGCACGTCTGCAATCGTGACACGATGCTTGATTTTTCTGATCTGTTATAAAAACTAGTTTAGGAGTTGTCATTGTGAGATGAATTTGGAAAGCCGTGTTTTCATACTAATCGATCAATCTGAACAGAGTGGTATTAGTTTATCAATGTATTTGAATTAGCAACTAATTAATTGTTGGATGTCAGAAAGTTGTTCTTCGTTGATATGATACCTAATCAAGAATAACGATTATCGATGAATGATCTCATAGTCGTCTGAACGGTCGTGTTGTGGGTCAAAACAAAATATGTACATGTAACAAAATAGCGTCTTTTAAATAGCGAAAATAAAAACACGGACTACTAAAGGACGGCATGAGCATTAAACCAGCTAAAAGAATTAAACAACTGTCCTGTAAAATCAGGTCCTAGTTACAGTAGGGACCTTACAGTCTGACGGAGATTGAGTTATCACAACATCAGGATTCAGGCATTAGCCATATAGGAATCCTAAGTCCTTGGAAATTTATACGGCAGAGTATTTGTACGATATCTTAATCGTATGATGTGTGACGTACAACTAACAGGTACCAGGTAGCTCAGTGTTATGTACACAATGATCTACTCAATTTGTCGAACGTTGGGCCTGTTATATATCTACAAATTTCTTCAATAGAATCGGATATCGCAACAAAGGAAATGCAATAATGTAGATCTAGAGTTTGGAATGCTTGAATAAAAAGGAAGTTAAATTCATTAAAAATTAAACATTTTCGATGACATCAGTCGAACAGCAACCAAGAAAATGTTTGCTCTGGTATGTCAAATGTTGTCAAAGCAACGGTCTCTATCCACAAAATTTAAAATATAACACTGTTGTCAAAGGCGGAACTTAAACTGATTTAAGTAATGAAATATAATAAATTGGATCATTCTTAAACTCAGTTATAAAGCTTTAACATCATTATCATATTGCTAGCCTATCATGTAAACAGGTCCCCATATGCTGTATAAAAAATATACAGTACGTGATGACTTATTTAATCAGTTGCGTGATCGAATCTTTGCTCTCGACACTACTTTTGAGCCCGTGATGCTATCTCTTCATTCAGTTTATCCAGCATTACCATAACAACATATCTCATCGTTCATCTTTAATACTTTAATATAATTAGAAAGTAGGCAAATTCAAAGATCAGTAAATACCGCAATTCTGCGGGCCAGGAAACGAGCGTGTGTCTCTGTCAGACAGAGTTAACTGAGCTCAGAAGCCAGATGGACACTCTGCTGCAAACTATAGAAGTCAAACAAGGAACTCTACTGCAGCTGACTGAGATGAAAGATGAAATAAATTTAATGAAAGTGCGAATTGCTGAAATCCCAGAACTTGTGCAAGCTGCTCTTAGGGCCAAAAGGGTCCAGAAAACCATTATTGACAATAAACACACCTATGGTAAAAGAGCCCACCACGGGACCGCGAAAATTCAGTAGTGGAAATGGCCTTTGGGTTGTAATAAACTCAGATAAAATTGACGTATCAGATCACGTCGAGGTTGTAACAGACCAAGAGTTCATCCTCAGATCTCCACCTAAACCTATATACCGGGTACTATATATTTTGGAGAATTTTGAGGCTCACAGTCACAACGTCTCGTCCCATGGGTAAAGTTGTAAGCTGAGTATGCGTTTGAATCTCCTTACTTCGTATGGTGAAACGTCGAAAGGTTTGCTGTAGCCTTTTGTGACGAGCGTTTGCCCACCGGGGATCCAAAAAATAAAGCTGTTAGTCTTCATGATCATTGATCAACCTGAACCTATGGTGACAATGTTTTACGTGAAATGTAAAAATCAGGAGTAATATAAAAAGTGTATTTTTAGACTAAAGTGCTAGCTCATACTCATAGTTTAAAAATACAGGGTGGGCCAAAAGTTTGCTCTATCCAGAGCCCTTGCGCTTGCAGTAGCGCGCGCCCGCCCCACGGTGCTGTGAATGGCGAAAGCACATGGTTAGGTGAAGCCAAAAGTCAGTGGGCATGTGTAAGTGTTGGCCTTAATACTTTAATACTTCCGCCGTGTTTTATATTTGAGAGCTGTTGCTTTCCAGATCACAAATGGCAAACTGTACTTCTGGTTCAAGGATTCCGTCATCAAAATTTGAAAATTCGAATATTTTAGACCACGCCCATAAGTTTAACGGGTGATCAGTGATACTCGTAAAATATCTGTTCCATATATTGGGACCGTCCAACTCGGCGCGCGTCCTGGTATACTACAACCATAAGTATAAGAGTAGTATAACTATAAGAGTATAGATTAACGTTTGTCGTTTAGCCATCTCAGAATTAACGGGTGATACTCGTAAAATATCTGTTCCATATATTGGACCGTCGACGAGTCCAACTCGGCGCGCGTCCTGGTAGGTTGTAAACCTACAATCTCAGAATCAATCGTGCCGTAATATATGGCTAAAAAATCATAGGGTCTTGAAAATTTTATAATTGTTCAGCGGGTCGATTGACTGAACACGTTTGCACTAATATTTAATTTTACCAGTAGTTTATTTGTCATTATGGTATGTACCGCGATGATAATACAATTAAGATAACAACTAGGTAAACCGTAAGTCAAATTCAAAACACACCGCACACCGTACACTCCAATCAGTATTATCAGCAGTTAGCAGCAGTTGGCAGCAGTCAGCAACAGTTAGCAGCAGTTAGCATGGCAGCAATGAGCAGCAGTGAGCAGCAGTTAGCAGCAGTGAGTAGCAGTGAGCAGCAGTGAGCAGCTTGCTCTAACCAGAACCCTCTCGCTTGCAGTACACAGTAGCGCGCGACCGCCGAAGGCGTATACACATGGCTATATATTGTAGGTTTACAACCTACCAGGACGCGCGCCGAGTTGGACTCTTCGACGGTCCAATATATGGAACAGATATTTTACGAGTATCACCCGTTAATTAAGGGGAGATACACCAAAAACGTTTTTGCTCCGAACATCGATTTTATTTTATATTATGGTTAAATAGACAAAAAAATAAGATTGCACACCTTTAAAATTTTTTAAAAATATTCCCTCATCGAGAAAAAAAAATTTTCTTTTTCGAAAATTTTTAAAATTTGGAGAAGTCTGTCACTGTAATACCAATAGTTCGGCTATTTTAAAAGTGTTTTGGCTGATTTTTTACTGAACATTACTTACACTCCGTACAAGACAACCCTATAAAGGATTATATAATTGAACAATAAATGACCAAGTTACAGACCGAACAAGGTGGACAAAGAAAAATTGGGATTTTGGCCTACCACCAAAGTTGTACATTTTACCACTCGCCCAGGTCATCAGATATCGCCTCAAAAATTCTTGTGAGTGTAGTTGATGATCATGGAAAGCTTTTTGGAACAGGATTTCTCTCAATTCTGAGTTTTAAGGTATGAAATGTGGCCTCAAACGACTTAGTAAAATTCATCGTAAAAAAGGGTCAAAAATGGCAGACGAATCTTTTAGTACCAAATAGGTGATTTTAGAAGACAAATTGTCTTGAATAATTTTCTAGCTCGAACACAAGGGTCCCCCCTTGTATAAATTTTGTACAAATTGTACACATTTTTTTACAAATTTTGTGTCTTTAACTGTTATAAATTTGGTACTAAAAGATTCGTCTTGGCTATGATCTGTCGCTGTGAGAAGCCTCATTGAGTGCGATTCAATAACATTGGATCGTATGCAGCTCTCTCAGGGCACCTAATTTTACTAATCTGCCTCAGAGGCGGCTCGTGGGAGCTGGCTGACAGATTTGTTTGGGTGTCCTATTATAGTGAAGCAACGGACTGGGGGGAGTGGGGATCGGAGGGCTTAGGGGCCGCCCCAAGCTCCTCTCCCCTACCCCTAATCTCACCGATGACTGCATACAATACCATTACCATAGCAGAGAGTTGATTAATTAATTAAAATATTACAACGCACATTACATGTGCACAGGGCTCGTGTAATGTGTAAGTGATATTTAATAAATGATTAAAAGAACCGATTTTAAAGTTGCCCCGCCATAGTAAAGCCTTTAGGTCCAAAAATATACCCATTATGCTCACTTAAAAACAGCTCTAAATCAGTAGGCTGTCACTCTATTAATTCACCACACCGCTACCTCCACTGCACTAAAAGTTATACAATAAATTCTACAATCCTAATTTTGTATCGTGATGGAGACCGGTGTCCATACAAAACATTTACTAGGTTGCCGTTTGGTGTGAGCAATAACGAACAGCACGCACACTCCTTTGCCCCGTCAACCTATATCTAATATATTTAAAGAGTGACAACCATACTACACATTGAATTAGGATTCCTTTAAATATCAAATTGATTTATTGTAAACTTGTTTACTCTGTAATAAATGGCATAAAATTGAATTTTTGTTTAACTGAATTTTTGTTTAACTGACTGATGTAATGTGTCACAGGCGACAGCAAACAAAAACAAAAACTTATAACATGGGTGAAACAGGACACCACACG